TCATAAAGCTTTGTTTGGTGGACAGACGGTGTTAGCAAGTTAGGGTTTCCAGGCACAAGAGTCCTTGTATTTTGAAGGTTCCATAAGTCTTTTTTTATGTGTAAAGTTCATGCTTTTCATCAAAAGACAAACTCTCCTAGTCTTCCAATACATTATCCTGAATTCTTTTTGGCTTGCTACAGTTTTTATTTTTAAGACTTCCCTGCCTTCTTCTTGTTCCTCATCTACATGAGTTGCAAGCATTTTGCCAATACCTCCAACAAATGGAGTCTTTTTCCTGAACCATTTCTACATGTGGCAATATTTTCTCCTAGGGCTGTTAAGCTTTCTATCCTTGCAGTTTGAGACAGACATAACTTACAGCACAGTCTCTGGGTATTGAAACCATGATGGATGTCTTGTTTGTCTTGATTGTACCTGGCCTCTACTTCAGGCATGCACCAAATAGTCTGCCTTATTGATGACTGTGACTCAAGTCACTAACACTCAGTAGTGACAGCTCAGCTGCAAACTGATCACCAGCCTTCCCTTTTGTGCCATTCCTCCCTCACTTAATTCCTAAATGGCTATTTCTTTTATTTTTATTGAATTTATTTTTGTTCGGTCAGTCCTTAAATATTCCCTAAAGACCCTCCATATCAGTTTAAATCAGAATGTTCTGTACCTATACTATTGGTTTTTTGTCCTCATTACTAATTAAAATACTTACTGAATCATAATTATTTATTTCATAAATGTTATCTTGTATTTTTCCAGTTGTTTATATGTGAGATAAGAATTAATATCTTCATTTCACCTTTCAACAAACTGTACTTTCAAGCAAAATTTATATCCACTTTTACAATGCCCAGAAGGTTCTCAAGAACATTAGAATCTAGAAATAAAAAACTGTAAGATGATACATATAATTTGCAAAAATATATTTAGTGATTTTCAACATTAGTTTGATAAATATAAATTAAAAAAGAAATTGTAGAAGCATCTTTTGGTGTTTAAAATCCATAGCAAAGATGTAGGTACATAAATGGGGTATTTAACTAGAGTGCAGATTTCTATATCTCTAACATATTTGAAGACTCAGGTCTATGAAATATTATTTGTGATACCACAGTTTCTCACAAGCAAATATTATACAAATTTTAGGAATAGCTTATGAGTTGTAACTAAGTCTCTTAATTTTACATTCTTACAGTAGGGTAAGGGGTCAGGAGTATTGCTGTTTTTTAGATTATACATGGTTGCAAATTATTTGTATTTATATTTGCAACCATGTATAATCTAAAAAACAGCAATTCTGAATTGTACATTAAGTGGTATCAGAATACTATTTTTGAAAGTTACTTTAAAATGACAAGAACTGAGGTTTGTTATGATTTTCTACAGAGTGTCTGTGTAGATACATTTAGTAGCTGTATAATGGTGAGTGCTGATGGTAGAGTAACAAGAATATTTATTTACTTACAGTATAAAGCAGTATCTTGCAAAGGAAATAACTCCGTCATAATAATTTGTGACTGTGGGATTGTGACTAGGACAAGGCTGGTTTTGTGATAGCAAAAGCTGTATTTCTCTGTGGGCATAGGTTTATATGCAAAGAAGTACTGATACAGGGTATTTTATTTCTTTCAACTGAATTTTTATATTTTTTATACACAATATAAATAACAGGTGAGAATCTGCCCACATTACACCAGCAGAGAACAGATTAATAGGATTTAAAATTATTTCAACACCTGACTTTTCAGTTAATAAAGACATTCAAATGGTAAATTTCTGTACTCTTCATGTTTCAGACAATTAATCTACATACGTTAAATTAACAGATCTTAAAAAGGCATTTTTACTTCCAACACACACCGTGCTGGTGGGTGTCAATTGCACAGCTGAGAAGAGCAACAGTTTTGGGTCACGAATTTTAAATGTGATAATTCGGTTCAATAAACCATTTCCCTAATAACCAGCTCTCAGTAATTTTAAAAATAGTTTGTTTGTTCAAGTTTTTATTTTGACAACTGATTTTTCCCTCTCTCTTTCCCCATCCCCGGTCAGTAATTCTTGAAAATTATAGATATTAGTACATTGTCTAGAATGTACCAAGAAAATATATAGCATGGGTACATTGATGTATTTATTTTTGTTACACAAAATTTAAAGATGCTTTTTTAGGCCAGGAGTGGTGGCTCACACCTGTAATCCCAGCACTTTGGGAAGCCGAGGCAGGCGGATCACAAGGTCAAGAGATCGAGACCATCTTGGCCAACATAGTGAAATCCCGTCTTTACTAAAAATACAAAAAAAATTAGCTGGCCGTGGTGGCACGTGCCTGCAGTCCCAGATACTTGGGATGAGGCAGGAGAATTGCTTGAACCTAGGAGGCGGAGGTTGCAGTGAGCCGAGGTTGCACTACTGCACTCCAACCTGGCACCTGGTGAAGGAGTGAGACTCTGTATCCAAAAAAAAAAAAAAAAAAGGATGCTTTTTTTAGAACTCCGAAGCATAAACTAGTGACATAATTAAATGAAAAATGTGTTTGTTTCTTCTTTTTTAATTAGCTAGCTGTATAGGCAATTTATTTCCAAGTGATTGGTTATTTTGCACCATCGTCAACTTTTGCTTGTGATATATTCCAGCAACAGAATTTTTTCTACTACTGTGGAGAAATTATTTGATATCTTCAAATGCAGAAAAGGGTTACCTTTAGCATCTGTGTGACTGGAAGCTACTATTAGTTGTTTATCTTTCTGTTGAGCAAAGCTCCTTCTGGTTCTCATTGGCTTGCTCGGAGTCATACTAGTTAGGGCCTTTCATCCAAATTAGAGTCCCTTGTATGATGAATAATCATCACAGCAGTTTTAAAGTTGTTCATATTTTAATTATAGAGACAACTTAAATGTTTTTTTTTCTAACTAATTAAAGGTAGGCAATAACATGAACCTAAAGTTTAACATATTTACGAGTTCATAATTTCCATGCTCAGAGGCATGAGAAAATTCAAACTAGAAAAAATAAACATTGATTATTGTCCCTTGATTGGCATTTGATTTTATTCCTTTTCTTTGCCTTTGTCCTTTTTCATAAACTAACGGAATGGCAAGGCTAATCTTGTGATTGGGAAAAACATCAGTTTCCTACTTAGAACCCCATTAGTCAGTGTACTCAAGGGAAAAGTTATAATTTCTTAGCAACACTTTCAAGGCCATGATTTCCTTTTAAGCCTTATCTCTCATCACTTTCCTGATTTCTCACCAACCCCTCACAATATTTTCCTTTCCAGGGTCCTGATGTGTTCCATTTTCCAGCCATTTGATAATCTTTCTCTCTTACCTGAGCTGCCTGTCTTCCCCAGCTCTTCCTTTTCTTATATCCACCGCCATTTCTTGACAGTCACTGCCTACCATGACCATCACACACTAGGCTGGATCTCCTTACATGGACTCTTGTGTCATTCGTTACTCCCACTCTCTCTCTTCAACCCTACTCCAGTAGTCAGAGCATACAGTTGGCTGTATGTAATCCAGCCTTTAGTGACATTTCCAATTTCTGGTTGGATATAAGTGATTTAATAATTGTGTGATTAATTAAAAGCCATTCTAGAAAGCATAATGCATTATTTTCTTCCCTCATTTGCTCATCAGTTACCAATTCCTTAACACATTATAATCTGGTTTTCTTCTGCTTTTGTCTGGATTACATCCCTAAACTCTGCTTGATTTCTCTCCAAATTCCATAGACAATGATTAGACATCATCCAGGTTTTCCTTGGGGAAGATTCTCTTTGTTAGCTTTCCTTTAGAAATCACAATCAGGTTCATAGCCTCAATTCTCACTTCTGTGCCCCAGGCCCTTAAATTATTCTTTTTAGTCTAGATTCTTTCTGAAGATTCAGTGTGTATTTTCTGGATTTGTAATGACTCTCTGGATATCTCCACTTAAATGTTCTGCTACTTTAAACCCACCAAGTTTTTAAAAATACTCTCCTAGACTCTGTTACATCCTCAAAAATTTTATCTTCTTTGATAACTCTCAAAACTGCCTGAAGTTAAAAGCTTTCATTCATTAATGGTGAATTCTGTCTTCTCTCTTAATGGCTGTGTTCCTAAATCCCAATGAGTCTGTTTCCTCAGGATTTCTCACATGCATATTTTATTTTCTTCCTGCTAATACCACTATAGTTATGACATGTTAGATATTTGTAATTCACACTTTTAAGAAAGAAAGAGAAAATCCATTTAACTGACATTAATTGGCATTTCTGTCTCAATTTTTTTTTTACCATTACTCTGATAAAACTTTAACCCTTCTCAAAATGTTTAAGCAACTTTCCATTTTGAGAACAGCGTGAAGTTAAAACGTCTAAACCTTATACTCCAAATTCTAAACAATATCGTCCCAAGCAACCTACTGTGATTTACCTCCCATCACTGCCTTTCTCAAAGTCATTATGCTAGCCTAATTTGCTTATTCAACTCCTGTCGCAGTAAATGTTATATTTTTCTGTTTTTAAGACAAAGGCAGAATTGACTTAATCTCTATTGACTAAGTTTAGTAACTTTCCTTTTTGCAACTTTCTGAGGTTATTTTCATATTACAGCTCACTCATATATTATGATTTGAGACTATAATTTATTATTTATTCCTTTTATTTTATCCTCCAGAAATCTAGTTCACCATATATATGAATGCTCCGTAAGTACTCGCTGATTTCACTTTGCTATTAATGAAAACATTTAATTTGATTAACATTTTCAACTGGAAAATTGTGTTTGGTTGGCTATTTGGAATCTTGATTTAGTAAATTAAGGCAAGAAACTCATAATCATTACCACATGGGATTTAAAAGAAAAAATTATATATTAAATGCTTTTGTGAATAATAATATCAGAAAATGTATTAAATTATGTCTTTCTAAAATATTTTTGTTTATTTGGCAGTTAATAAAATATTGAGTGAAATACTATAATTTTCTTGAATACCTTCTTTCTTTCTTTTTTTTTTTTAAACAGAGGAAATCTCTAATGCAGTCCCCCACTACCACAAATTATGTAGTCAAGTTTCCCGCATTTGGGGAAGTCACAGGCGTTAGCACATCCAGAGTGCAATGGATAAGCCTCGCCCTGGGAAAAGCACCTTCATGATCATGGTATCTCCCCTGCCAGGTGAATACCTTATTTCTATCCTAGTTGTTTAGGTCAGTTTTTGAGAGAAAAGTTACTTTATCATTTTATCTTTGAGATTACCTTATTAGCTGGAAATCCTTGAAGATTTGAGTGTAGAATCTATAATGTTAATTAATTTCATCTAAGGCACAGACTAATTATAACATTTTGCTTAATATAGATTATCTACACTGATATATAATATAAACAAAGAAAGTTTATTCTCCATGATTGTGGTTTTTTGTATGTTCTCAATTATTGTATTATATAATCCAAATTGCTATTGATTGTATACACTGTTCCTATCTCTTTAAACAATAGGATATCCTTTAAAAAAGAAAACTAAAACATATATTTTATTTATAATTGTCCAGGCTTTCCTGCTAATTATCTCTGATTCACTTAACAACATTGTGAGATAAGAAGTACTATTATTACCCCTATATTAAGAAAAGAAACGTCATTTAGGGAGATGCTGTGATTTGCCTAAGAAGAGAAAGTCACTAAGTAGCAGACATAGTAGGCACATAAATATCCATTAATCACTCATCAAACTCTCCTTGCCTCTGTAACTTGGCTCACTTTAGAATTTAGAGGCAAATTACAAAATGTTGCACTTTTTTGTGTGTGTGTAAATAATATACTCCTTTTCCTATAATAATTTTGGGTAAGAAATTTCTTATGTAATATTTTACTCTTTCTTGCCACACTGGCAACCTCTAGAACTGAGAACTCTAGAGCCCTATTCTTAACACATAATATACTTTAAGCAACTGACATGATGTACCAGGCAGATTTTGCTTGAATATAGCAAGGTATTAATCACTGGAAAGACTTTAGAGGCAAATTTTAGAATTTTGCACATGTTTTGTCAGGTAAGTAATATATGGATTTTTCTTATAAGAATTATATGAAAGGAATTTATTATGTAATTAAAAAGTCTATACTGTGGCAAGTTGCTTTTTGAGACACACATATGTAATTTATACACATCATCCTTTGGTATCCATAGTTGGTATACTGTATTGTTTAGGAATAAAGAGAAAAAAGTCTATACATGTTCATTATACGTGTGCAGCAGGACTTAGTTTTTTTTCCTATATTTTCTATCCATGGTTAGTTGAATCCGGGGATGCAGAAACCACAGACACAGATGACCTAAAATATATAAAATCCACTAAACCAAATCTAGGTTGAAAATTTTTGTGCAAGATAGTTGACTTTTACAGAAAGTGATCTGAGAAATCATGTGAGGATTTGGAGAAGGGGAGTGACACAATCAGATATCGCTTAACAGGATCATTTTGGATGTTATGTTGAAAATAAACCCACTGGGACAAGGACAAGGAGACTCCAGGTAAGAGATGATGTTAGTTTGGACAAGGATAGAAGTGATAAAGGTGAGAAACAATGAGATTCTAGATATTTGGAAGGAAGATCCAATAAGGTTTTCTGATAAATAGAGTAAGTGTTGTGGGAGAGTGGAGGAGGCCAGAACATAATTCCTACCTCGCCAGAACACCGTGAAAATGCTTAACTGGCAGTCAGCACACAGCAAGCTCTGAAATGATATTTGACACTGTATGTCCTCTGGTAGAGATAAGCAAACTGAGCTGCAAAGCTGTTAAATCACTCACCTAACATGACCTTGATAGTTAGTTAATGTCATTGCTGTAATGCAAATCCAACTGTAGATACATTGCTCTACAGGTCAAAGGCTGGGCCTACATCCTTGTCATTTATTCTAATTCTACAGGGTCCATTTGATTTGAATAAAGAAAAACACAGTGGAAAAGTCAGTCAAATCAGAAATAACTTTTTTTCCTGAACATTTGGGTCACTTACAACAGCCAAGTATAATTTTGTATTAACTGCAGGAAACCTAATAATCAGGTTGCTTAAACAAGCATTTTTATAGAATTAACTCTCTTAAATAGATATTTTCCTGTTAATGTTGCACATAGGTGAAATTCTTAGCCACACTTAAAGTCATGTTAATAGAGAACCAAATAATAAAGCCTTGGGAAATTTAATTCATGTCCTTTAGGCTGCTTCTTTCATAATCATTATACTTTATAAATGGTTGGAAAGTTCTTCAGGATCCATTTGGTTACTTAGAAAACTTATGGGGGCCAGGAGAAGCTGAAGAATAAAAAGCAGCAACACCAAAATAACTCTATAACATGCATTTTAATAATTAATTTAACTATAATTTTCTCTGATCCCTTCTGCTTTATTTGATCACTGTACTATGAGTTGTTTTGCTTATATAAAACAATATTTGGATCCATATACTTTTTATGGTGATGACTGAGATATTCCACTTTCTCTCCATCTTATCTAGCTTCTCAAGAGAAAGAAACCAATGGAAAAATAGAGAATGCTTTACTTATTGCCTCAATGTTTCATTATATTTTCTTTTTTATTTTCTTTTTTACTTGTTTATCCATAAGTTATTGGGGTACAGGTGGTATTTGGTTACATGAGTAAGTCCTTGAACGGTGATTTGTGAGATTTTGGTTCACCCATCACCTGGGCAGTATATACTACATTCTGTCTGTAGTCTTTTATCCCTCACCTCCCTTCCACTCCTCCCCTCAAATCCCCAAAGTCCATTGTATCATTCCTATGCTTTTGCATCTTCATAGCTTAGCTCCCACATATCAATGAGAACATACGATGTTTGGTTTTAAATTGCTGAGTCACTTCACTTAGAATAATCATCTCCAATCTCATCCAGGTCACTGAAAATGCTGCTAATTCATTCCTTTCTATGTCTGTATACTATTCCATCATATATATACCATAGTTTATTTATCCACTTATTGATTGATGGGCATTTGGGTTGGTTCCTTGATTTTGCAATTGAGAATTGTGCTGCTATAAACATGTGTTTGCAAGTGTCTTTTATGAGCAATGACCTTTTTTCCTCTGGGTAGATACCCAGCAGTGGGACTGCTGGATCAATTGGTAGTTCTATTTTTAGTTCTTTAAGGAATCTCCACATTGCTTTCCATAGCAGACGAACTAGTTTACATTCTCACTAGCAGTATAGAAGTGTTCCCTGTTCACTGCATCCATGCCAACACCTACTGTTTTATGATTTTTTGATTATGGCCATTCTTTCAGGAGGAAGGCAGTATTACATTGTGGTTTTGATTTGCATTTTCCTGATCATTAGTGATGTTGAGCATTTTTCCATCTGTTTGTTGGTCATTTGTGTATCTTCTTTTTAGAATTGTCTATTTATGTCCTTAGCCCACTTTTTGATGGGATTGTTTTCCTCTTACTGATTTGTTTGAGTTCATTGTAGATTCTGGATATTAGTCCTTTGTCATATGAATAGATTGTAAAAATTTTCTCCCACTCTGAGTTGTCTGTTTACTCTGCTGACTGTTCCTTTTGCCATGGTTCCAGCTATTTATCTTTGTTTATATTGCATTTGCTTTTGTGCTCTTGATCATGAAATCCTTGCCTAAACCAATGTCAAGAAGGATTTTTCCAATGTCGTCTTCTAGAACTTTCATAGTTTCAGGTCTTAGGTTTAAGCCCTTAATCCATTTGAGTTGATTTTTTATAAGTTGATAGATGAGGATAAAATTTCATTCTCGATTGGGGAGACTCAAGATGGCACTGTGAGAACAACCCAGGATTGAAGCTCTCGGTTAATCCGCGGTCAGGTGAGTCAGAGCTGCATTTTCAGACTGATCTTTGTTGCCCAAAGAACGGGGAAATTCCAAAGTATAAAGGAGATGCGGGACCCCAGGCAGAGGCTCTGCCTGGAGAAGCCGGCAGCCGGGGTGGTGGCAGCCAGCCCTACCCAGCGATCCCCACAGGGCGCGCTTGTACGGGTGCCCTGTTGAAATGGCAACCTGAGACTTCAGAGGGATGAACTCGAGACTGAAAGGGACTTGGGCAGTGGGCCACCCCAGGGGATTGCAGGGACACAGCGTGTGGGATACCGCAGTGGGACAGACAAAACGGCGATTCCAAATGGTCTCGCCGTGGAGACTGTCCCTAAGGCGCTCCGTGGGGGAGGGGCGTTCACCATTACCGAGGCAACCCGCCCCGACTGAGACACACGCCCACTGCTGACACAGCCTGCCGTTGCCGAGGCAACCCGCCACAACAGAGAGACTCCGCTGCAGGGCGGCAGAACAGCAAGAGCCTGCAGCAACAGGGCGAGCCTCACAACAGCAGGGCGGAGCCTCGGCAGGCAAATAGTGATTAGATTGCCTCCTAGCTGGGCAGGACACCTCAACAGACATCCAAAAGCAAAGCCCCAACCCCCCAAGACAGAGCATTTGAGAAAAAAAGGGGTTTTTTAATGAGTTCTGTTGCAGCAGAATCAAACATAGCAGCCTAACAGCCCTGAATGAACAACAGAGCTCACAGCTCAGCAATTGAGCTCCTATAAAGTACAGACTGTCTCCTCAAGCAGCTCCCTGACCCCTCTATATCCAAAAGACTGTCATTAGGCAGGCATCATCCTGGGACAAAGAGAGCAGAAAAAGAAACTGGTAGCATCCCTCGCTGTGCCACGGCTACTAGAGGTGCACCCCAGACAAGCAGGGTCTGGAGCGGACCTCAACAGTCGTACAGCAAAGGGGCTAGACTGGTAGAAGGAAAACCAAGCAACAGAAATACTTCATCATCAACATTCTGGGTGTCCACTCAGAGACCCAAACGAAAAGTCAGCAACTACGCAGACGACCAGCGGACAAATCCACAAAGATGGGAAGAAACCAGCGCAAAAAGGAGGAAAACACCCGAAACCAGAACACATCGCCTCCTAGAAAGGACCAAAACTCCTCACCAGCAAGGGAACAAAGCTGGACGGAGAATGACTGTGACGAAATGACGGAATTAGACTTCAGAAGATGGATAATGAGAAACTTTTGTGAGCTAAAAGATCATGTATTAAATCAATGCAAAGAAACTAAGAACCTTGAAAAAAGATTTGAAAAAAGATTCGAGGAAATGATAACAAGAATGGATACCTTAGAGA